AATAAATAAATAAATAAATAAATAAATAAATAAATAAATAAATAAATGTAAAAAAAAAGGGGGGGGGATCCAGCTGAGCATAGAGGTTAGTGGCTAGTTTAGCATTTACATGCCAAAGTGAGTTAGATTTCCAGTCCCCTTTACTTGGTGGGGTAGTTTAACTCTGAAAACTTGACTTTGCATGATTGTTCTTTCAATGTACATGGAAAATCTGGCTCTTGGTCTACGAAACTAGGTTTCTCTTTCCCTTGCGGTTAACGTCTGACACCCCTTGTGCTTGGGTCATATTTCTCCCAGGCGTTTGTTTTTTTTCCAGGGCTCCACGTGACGCTGTGCAAAAAAAAGTGATGTAGAAACGGCTGGACAGTTGGAATGGCCGAGAAGGAGGCACTGAGATGGAAAGTTCATTTGAAAGGATTTGAAAACAATCCCCTAAAGTCACCGCGGGGTAGTCGGTGGAAGGGGCTCCACCTCGGCTCCCCTCGTGGCCCCCCGCCACGGCTTTGCCGCGCACTTGTTCAAAGGTAGTCCTAAAAAAAAGCACTACCACTGAACACGTAGCTTGTTCCCTGTTTGGTGATGCGCAGTGACATGCAAAGATCACTGATCGCACATCGCTCTCATTAGCTGCATCACCTATGCAATAAGACTTTCCCGAAACCCCTAGTTGTTTTTCTCCCTCCCATTTCAGCTGCCACTTTGATTTCATCACGCCGGACCACTGCTGAGTTCACAACCCTTTGAAATTAGAAAAAAGGGCCTGTAATCCAGTTACCCGAGTTGCGGCGCGACTCCTCGGGTCCTGAGAGAAAAACCTGCAGCACTAATCCTTCTGTCAGCGTGTGCACGCTTTGCTACCTGACTGTTTGTGGCAGCCATTTAAGATATTCGCTGTTGAAAATGTTTCTTTTGAATGTCTGACAAAAGGGGGTCACAAAGTGTTGCGCACTGGTTTTGTTGGTAGGCCGGCGGTGCTCATATAGCAGGTGTAGTGTTGGGAAAATCAAAAAGGTGAGGCAAAGAGCCCTTCAGAAATGGATAACAGTATTCAATATGTGTCTGTTTTTATTCTTAAGAACCGAAAAGCCGTA